CTGTTGCTGTGGTCGAGTGACCGGTGAGCGGGTCGGGCTGGGCCGAATAGGGGTGGGCTACACTGCGCGCCGTGGCGGCTGAGGCATCCTCGCTCGACGCCAGTACTGTCCTCAGCGAGGGGCAGTGAGGCCTAGAGCAGGACTGTCCCGGCCCCAGAACTCCGTGCCCCCAGCATCAAGCTGGGTGCATATGGGCTTGCAAGCCAGGCACCCCCAACTGACAGCACCTCTTCTGTCCCCTGCCAGGGACTTGTGGGCTCCTGCAGCCCACACTCATGAAGGGCACATCACCAGCGACATGCAGCTCTCTACCTACTTAGACCCCGCCCTGGAGCTGGGACCGCGGAACGTGCTGCTGTTCCTGCAGGACAAGGTGCGCCGGCCCCAGCTTGCTTTGCCCCTGTCATCAGAAGACAGGCAGATTCCCTCCCCCCCACCCAAGGGAAACTTAAGTGACCTTGTCCCACCTGTAGGGAGGAGTGGCTGGTCTCTCTGGGGAGAGCCTGTAGGGGAAGTTTCAGTGGGAATGCGGAGAGCCACAGGAAAGGCATGGACTTGATAGGAGGAAGCAAAGGGTTAGAGGCTAGAAGATGGCTAAATACTGAACACATTAGATATTATCTGAATGGACTGAATTGTCAGCCCTGTTTACGGATGAGAAGAGTGTCCTGGAGAAGTGACTTGCCCAAGGTCACACAGCTGATGGCCTATGGAGTTGTAGTTCCAACTGTAATGATCATAATAGAGCTAATTGCTAACTGGAAAACTGATCACTTATTTAGTGCTTCAAGTGCACCATGCTAAGCCACTGTTTATCTTGGTTTTATTGCCAGGGAAACTAAAGCTCGTAGAGGTGCAATGATTTGCTGAAGTTCCAAGGTGTGGAGACTACACTGGCTACAGACTGAGTCTGTCAGCCCTCCCTGCAGCTCGAAATCATAACCATCATGCTCTTTTCCCTCCTACTCAGCACTCTGTCCCAAAGCAGATGTGTAGACCATGAGAAGATTCTAGGGCAGCATAGGATGGGTGTTTGGGAGGCTGTCAAGCCTCTGTTTGCCCCTTCCCTGTTGTGGGCTATATGGCCCATTCCCCTTGTGGTCTTGCTCCGTTGTTGTGTGTGCAGGTAGTGACAGTCATGGTGGCTTGTAGTCCTTTGCAGAGGTGGTAACCAATGTAGTCAGACTGGAATGCTATGCTAGTTCTGCCACTTGTTGGTCCTAAATGCATGAAATGACTTTGAGTTTCTGCATCTGTAAAATGAAGATGCTACCTATGTCACAGGGCTAAAGATGTAATTTTTCTTTTTTAAGAATTTTTAAAATTTTACTTATTATTATTTAATTTGACCAGAGAGAGGAAGCAAAAGTGAGAAAGTAAGCTGCCAGATCTGGGACTCGAACTATGGTTGGCCATGTGTGAGGCCAGTGCTCTAACCACCATGCCACTTACCGGCCCCTGGAGGTAATTCTTACAGCACATGGAGGACATGAAGCTGGAGGCCTCTAGTGTAAGGGCATCCATCCATTCATTCACCTGCCAGATATAGAGCATATGCTCTGTGTAGCATTGTTAAGTGTTGGGATCATTGCAGTGAGAATAGCCCAAGCACCCACCCTCATGAAGCTGACATTGTTGTGAGGGTGACCAGTAAATACAAAGGTGTTGTATAATACAGTGTGCTGTCAGTTCTGTGGTCTTTCTTTAAAATTTTGCACCAGAGGGACCAGCAGTTAGCATAATGGCTATGTCGCTGGACTCCCATGTAGTCGACCGTGGTTTGCATCCCGGACCCGGTGGCTTAAAACTCAAGCCGGGCGCGTGTGCGTGCGTGCCCAAGATCCTGAGAGGAGAATTGAGGAGAAGGAATTGCGGTGTGGCCATCCTCCCTGGGGGGTGATTTCTCGCTTTCTGTCTCTCTGTCTTTCTCTGTCTGACAAGCTCACGTGCCCTATAGCAAAAACTTCTCAAAAAAAAAAAAATTAAAATTTTGCACCAGAGGGCACATACACTCACCAGAGAGGGGCAGAGAGAGAGAGCACCCTCTATGAGGCACGGTCACACTGCAATAATTTTTCCTCCATCTCTCCTTTTGGGGCTGTGGGCATATATGCACACACTCTTGGTATGTTTTCCAAGCCACTGGATCCAGGATTTGAACTGTGGGATCCAGCTACCTTAACAGCATGACACTGGCTGGCCCAGTACTGGGTATTTAGAGAAGGAAGTGGGCTAAGGGGATAGAGTTACTGGGGATGTTGTCTTCTTATTTTTAAAAGTTTGCCAGAGGGCATGTGCATTCATCAGAGAGACAGAGGGAGAGGGAGCGGGAGAAAGCACCCCCAATGGGGCATGGTCTTGCCACAATCCCTTTTTCTCCACCTCTCCCTCCTTTCAGGATCTGGGGCACACACGTATGCCCAGCATGGGGATGATGTTTCAGATAAGTGATGAGACCTCATTGAGGAGATGGTACATGAACAGAGCTGATGGAGAGAAGGAGGGAGCCATGTGGCTGTGGCTAAGGGGAGAAGGCCACTTCTGGCAGGGGAATAGCAGGTGCGAGGGCCCTGGAAGGAGTGTTCTTGGTGAGCTCAAGAAAGCTGGGTGGGGGGAACCAGCAGTTAGTGTAATGGCTATGTCGCTGGACTCCCACGTAGTCGACTGCGGTTCGCGTCCCGGACCCGGTGGCTTAAAACTCACACCAGGTGCGTGTGCGTGCGTGCGCGTGCGTGCCCAAGATCCTGAGAGGAGAATGGAGGAGAAGGGATTGCGGTGTGACCATCCCCCCTAGGGGGTGATTTCTTGCTTTCTGTCTCTATGTTTCTGTCTGGCGAGCGCACGTGCCCTATAGCGAAAATCTCTCCAAAAAAAAGAAAGCTGGGTGACTGGAGCCTGGTGAGTGAATAAAGGGCTGGATAGGCAGGCAGTGGTCTGCCAGGTAGCCAGGAGATGAGGGGGAAGGTCCCAAATCTGACAGCCCAGGGCCTTGTGGAGCAGGGTGTGTGAGATCTCCTGATTAGAGAAAGCCTACAGGCCACAGCAACCTTTTAGAATGAGAGCCCAGGCCCCACACAGGACCGGAGTTCCTGGCCAGATGGGAGGGCGGCTGGGCAAGTGTGTATACTAAACAGAGTGAGTTACGGCAGCTGGGTAAGATGTCTCTGGGCCTAACTGGGAACAGCCAGAAAACGCTGGGCCGGGGGCCACCTACAAGAGGTAAAAGACACCTGAGGGTTGTAGGGGAATCGAGGTTGGGTTGGGATTCTGTGGTCAGGAACTTCTCACACCCACTTGCCAAGGGTCACAGCCATTCTGGATCCAGCCGGCTCATCTCTGACATTCAGCTGGGCCTGGAGCCTGGGCCAGCGGTTTTTGGCTGTCCCCAGCCCCCACCCTGCACTTCCCACTTGCCTCCCCAGTTCCTCTTGTGTGCAGTGACTCCTGCTCCTTAGGTGGCCACAAGTCAGCTGCCCACAGGGTTCCTCCCAGCCCCATGACTGCCTTCTGGGCCTTTTCACTGCCTCTGCTTGCACATCCCCCAAACACGCCCTCAGTGCGTTCTTGCCCCAGCAGAAGCAAGAGATCGAATCTGGGTGTGAATGAGGCTTTGCTGGCTCTGCTAGTGACCAGGGGAAAGGACAGCCCCTGCCCTGACCCCTGTTCCCTGCTCAACCTCCCACAACGTCTCCCTGCTTTCCTGTTAGCTGAGCATTGAGGATTTCACAGCATATGGCGGTGTGTTTGGAAACAAGCAAGACAGCGCCTTTTCTAACCTGGAGGTAAGAGCCCTCGCCCAGGCACGGGCATGGGACCGTTCTGTGTCCCCTCTTCCAGCCCAGTAAGAGCTGCTCTCGTAGGAACCAGAGGTGCTGCCTTTGGAAGTACAAAGGCCTGAGTGGCCGGGGTTGGGGCCTGATTTGGAACATGCCCCCTCTGTGGGTGCACAAGAGAGCTGCCAGCAAGTTTTGGGGGGCCAGCACAGGTCCATTGGTCCATGGCTGACTCATTTCCTGCCTCTCTCCCTGTCTCTCTCCCGCCCCCAGAATGCCCTGGACCTGGCCCCCTCCTCACTGGTGCTTCCTGCCGTCGACTGGTATGCAGTTAGCACCCTGACCACTTACCTGCAGGAGAAGCTCGGGGCCAGCCCCTTACATGTGGACCTGGCCACTCTGCGAGAGCTGAAGCTCAATGCCAGCCTCCCTGCACTGCTGCTCATCCGCCTACCCTACACAGCCAGGTATGGCCTGTGTGGCCCAGCCTCCGACCCTGGGCCCTGAGAGTGGGCAGGCCATGACTTGGATCATGCCTGATCCCAGAGCAGGTGGCAGAGACTTGAGCATGACTGGGAAGCCTAGGAGAAGAGGGGCAGGATTCCAGGTGGGGAGGTGGGGGTGCTGACGAAAGCAAAGGTGCAGAGAGGCTGGAGCAGACAGAGCTGCTGAGGGCAGCATGGTAGGCAGTAGAGAGCTAGTCCAGGCTGGCTGTTTGAACTCAAGGCCTAGCCCCCTGCAGGGCTGACACACTGTCTCTTCCATAGCTCCGGTCTGATGGCACCCAGGGAGGTCCTCACGGGCAATGGTGAGTGGGATCAGGGAGAACTGCAGACACCTGGCCTGGTGGCTTCTTGGAGCCCTTGACAGTGGAGCCAGGACATGCCACTCTCAGGCCTCACTCCTCTCCCACCTGGCCTTTCCTGATAGGGGTTGCCCTCCTGGCGGGAGCCGATTGAGCCTGTTCCTGCTTAGGCTGCATGGATCCGAGAGTGTTGGGGTTAAGAGACCAGCAGTGTTTCAGAAAACAATTCCGAGTACTTGTCTTTTTGCCATAAAGGACAATCATTCCTTGTGGAGGATAGTTGGAGCTCTTCTATGGGGGATGGGATTCTCTGTATCTTAGGCTGGGCTTGCATTCAGGAGTCAGTGACAGGCCACCCTCATCCCAGGAGGGATAGCTGCTTAGCTGCTCCTGGGTTGTCAGGTGGGCCAGAGAGTACCTGGGCCAGGTGGGGTGTTCTTGTGACCTGGTCTCTTTTATCCCCATTGTCCCTCAGATGAGGTCATCGGGCAGGTGCTGAGCACACTCAAGTCCGAAGACGTGCCCTATACAGCAGCCCTCACAGCAGTCCGCCCCTCCAGGGTATGTGCCCTCGCGGTGGGGGTCTGGGGCACATGCGGAGAGGCTGTGTGGTGACCATGCTTGAGGGGAGGGGCTACAGGCAGGGCTCCCAGGAGGCCCAGGGTCAGGGTCTCCCATGGAATGAGTAATCAGGGCTGGCTTGTCCCTGTGAGCTGTGTGACCCTAAGTTGAAGGAGTCTGGGCTGGCAGGGAAGGCTTCCTCTCCTTGACTGCTGGGCTTCTGAGATGTGGGTAGAGTGATGGTTGGGAGAGGAGGGAGGGCACGACTGCTGGGTCTGGGCTTGTTCTCTGGGTTGTTGAGAGAAGGGTATTCCTGCAGGTGGCTCGTGACGTGCCTATGGTGGCCAGTGGGCTGGGTCGCCAGCTGCTGCAAAAACCACCTGCTTCGGCTAACGGCCATCCTCCCTGTGGGTACAAATCAACCAGCCC